TCCATTCACTCTCATGATGAATGTCAGTCTGCAGTTGCGAATGGGACAATTTTCACGGTCCAAGAGGATGGAAACGATGATCTATCCAGCCGCCTCAGCATCTTGGCTCAGCGCCTGAGAGAACACCAGGCCATCTACATCTCCTCTCCAGAGGATGAAGTCATGCCCACCGTCCTCGGATCACGATCCCCGACAAGTGGGATGGCCATGCCGCGGAGAACATCTTCCGGGACGAGAGCGCTCCAATGGCTCAGCGATGTGGCAGGCATGCAGCCTATGCGGCCTTCGACTTCGCTACGTGACCAAGGGGAAGGCAACCGGTCAGAGCCGGGCAGTGGGACCGCCTCCCGACCAGGTCGAACAAGCCCAGGAGGAGCTGAAGCTGCTGTTCGCGGCCCCGGAGATGACGGAGAAGATCTTCAACGTGAAGTTGATGGAGATCAGAGGCCGGACGCTGGTGCAGAGCGGCGGACACAGCCGGACGACAGTGCAAGTTCGGGCGGACGAGAAGTTGGGCGAGGCGATGATGGCCAATGCCTCATGCTCAGGGAGCTACCCAACAGCGAGCCCACTGAAGCCAACCAAGGAGACCAAGGGACGCTCGCAATCGCCGACACCAAAGACTCCTGCGAAGAAGCCCATCACCCCGGAGGAGGAGATCATCGCTGCCGAGAAGATGAAGAATGCCCTGACTCGCGTGAAGACGGAGAAGACCGAGAAGGTCAAGAAGGCAGCGTCATCGGCGACGGCGATCCCCGTGGCCATGAGCGTCAACTCCGAGGAGACGGTGCAGGAGATCTGGGACAGCGATCCGGAGAAGACGGAGGAGGAGAAGGGCGACTAGCAGCAATGTGGAGCAGGCTGCGAGGCATCAAGAGCCGGATGCAACGGAATGTCCCTGACGGGGCACTATGCCACGATCGGCTGGAGGCTGATGACGGCATCAATACCCTCACTACATCGTTGAGCCCAACACGACAATCTTCACCCTGGGATGGAAGAGATTCCACTACACGCACTACGAGCACTACGAAATCTTCATGCCCAATGTGCCCGACGAGCGCTATGGCATCCAATTCTTCGAGGAGTACCGTGGCAGAAGAGCTCTCCCAAGTGGTCAATATGACGGAGAAGCAGGTGAGACCCTCGCTGGCACGGCGCCTGGCGACAGCGGCTGCCTTGACCTGCGCCTTGATGGCGCCACTGAGGGAACTGGTGGGAGCGGTGACTCCACAAGTTGATGTGATGGAGATTGCATGCTCTCCCAACTCGACGTTGACGGCTACATTTGAAGAGCATGGATACTGTGGCCAACGCATCAACTATGTCACTGGCTGTGACCTGAGCTCCAAGAAGGGAACGACAAAGCTAGCCAATACAGTGGCGGAGAGCAAGCCTAAACTGGCTTGGGTGTCCATGTCTTGCACTCGCTTGTCATCACTTCAAAACCTCACTCCAAGGACACCTGAGGAGCTTGACCGTTTCCTTCAACGTCGTGGACAAGATCTACGCCGATGTGAAGAAGTGGCAATGTCACTGGAGCCGATTCTGGAGAGTGGAGACGATGTGGCATGGGAATGGCCAACAACGGCAGTGGCTGGTTGGCGATCAAGGGCCATTGAACGACTGAAGCGGCTCATGAACAAGCACCATCGGCAGATCTACTGGGTCCGCATCGACGGCTGCGCATACGGCTTGGAGTGGCAGGGCGTTGCATTGAAGAAGTCATGGACCATCCTGACTACCAGCCGTGAGCTCTGGCTGACTTTGAACAAGAGATGTGATCGAAGCCACGAACACGCTCAATGCCGTGGCAATGCAGCACAGTCATCTGCATACTACCCATGATGCATCTATGGCAAGGTCAAGACGCTTCCCTGGAGCGAGCAGCTGAGCTCTACCTGCTGGACACCGTCGCGGAGAAGGACCTGGTGTCTTCATGTGACCTACCCGGCGAGTTCCTCAATCTGATCTTCCTGGTGGAGAAGAGCAGGTCCTGGCACTTTCTCGACGACGACTGGATCTGGACACGGCGCCCACGGGGAAGAAGTTGGAAGCGGTGAAGCAGTTGATGCTTCGTGTCCATCAAGCAAGTGGCCATGCCGGGATGAGCAACCTGGTCCAACTGTTGAAGGACCGTGGATCCCCTGGTTGGGCGATCGAAATCGCTTCCAAGCTGGAGTGCCCTGAATGCATCGAAGCAGCCAAGGTGAGACCTCGACCACCGGCAAGCACCTCTGAGACACCAGCTGTCTTTGCGCATTTGGGATCCGATGTCTTCGAGCATGAAGAGCCCTCAGGCAAGAAGCGCAAACTGATCCTTTGGCGGGATCGAGCTTCAGGTTTGACCATGATTGACCATCTTCAGGAGTATGGCGGCGATGAAGGCGGCAGCTGGGAACCAACAACAGAAGCTGTTATCCAGTCACTGACGAAATGGTTGATGACCTACCCGACTCCAACGTGGGTCTTCACGGATGCAGCAAGGTACTACACTTCCAACGCCTTCATGGAGTTTCTCAACCGCTCTGGAGTGGGACTCTCAGTGGCACCTGCCGAAGCTCATTGGCTTCTTGGACCTGAGGAGGGAGCGATTGGGATTGCCAAGAGAACAGTTGAGAGGTTGGCTCGAGAGGGAAGTCGCCTCAAGATTCCCGAGCTCTACACCATGGCGGCCAGCGCTATGAACTCTCACATCGGACCCACTGGGTTCAGTGCTTTCCAGTGGGCCGTTGGCTATGGCGGAGGAGTTTTGGACGATGAGCGGCTGCTGCAGAACATCGACCCTCGGAAGGCATTCAATCAACTTGTGAAAGAGAGAACGTGCCAAGCTAGCCTTCGAGAAAGAACAAGCAGCTGATCGATTTAGCCGACTGGCAAACTCCACTGGCAGACGGGTGACCCAGTACAAGAATGGGCAACTGGTGATGGTGTGGCGTCAGAAGGTCAAGCCTGGCAAGGTGAAGGGGCATTGGAGCGGCGAGGTCCGCATCATCCTCATGGAGGGCACGACTGCCTGGATGAGTTCTGGCTCAACTTTAGTTCGAGCCAAGGTCAACCAAATTCGGCCAGTCTCAAGGCGGGAAGAACTTGGAGCCGTGATGGAAGGAGCAGCCATCTATCGACAACCTGTTTCAGTGAGCTCTCTTCTTCAAAGCTTTCAAGGGCGCTATTACCTGGACCTGTCTGGAGACGTCCCTTCCGAAGAGAGGCAAATGGCTGATCTCACTCCATCGACTGTCCTGCAGGAACCTTCTGAGAAGAACAAGAACGACACTCTTGGACCCTGAGGCAGGACGGCGGCGAGAGAGTTCTCATCCGACATCACCATCTTCCGCGTCTTGGACTCTTTAATCCGCTTCGAGCCACAAACTGTCCTGTCAGCATTGACGACCTCACGGGCAAGAGGACTACACATGTCCAACCTCTACGGCGAGGAGACGGACTACCTCCTGGTGATCCCGTGGTCATCACGGACACGGTTGATGTGGTCCGCAACCTTCCGGACCGGTGGACTGGCGAGACTCATTTTGAGCTGAAGCGATCAACCGGCCAAGAAGGTGAAGAAGGCAGAAAGTCGAGCCTCTAAGCGCAAGGCCGACAAGCAGGTGACCAAGGATGATGGACATCCGGGAGAATCTGACGGCCACGGCGCGGGAGAACTTCCACTACAAGAACAGGCGAGCGCATCGACCGACCTCCCCTCTGGTCTTCAAGCTGCACTACATGAACGTGGTCCCGAGATGGTGGATGACATGCCACTCCAAGGTGAGTCAGGAGTGAACAGGTGCGCAGTGCCAGAATGCGACCTGCCTGGTGGCCATGATGGGCATCATCAAGACCGTAACGGTCAGACCTTCATCTACGACCTCTATGAAGGAAGAAGAGCACCGACCTCAGGTGAGAAAGAGATGGAGGAGGACTCATCCTCGAGCTCAATCTCAGAGCCTTCAGACATTGGCCCCGACAGCTCAGATGAACTTCGCCCGGCTGAGGAGCAAAGTCCAAGCCAAGCGACCCCAGGCAGCCGGAGGAGGAGACCTTTGTGGTGTTCACCTTGGACGTTGACGAGGATGACTTCGAGTGTCCCTACTTCTCAGCGAGATTGGGAGCGCGACCATTGAGACGCTCTATAAGGCGAACAAGCTGGTTCGCGAGATGCGGCGCGATGCTGGGCAGGGCTTGTTGTTTCCCTCTTCCTGGAATGTGAAGAAGGTGGAGGACCTGGCAGCGGTGACATGGGCTGACGCCTCACAACACAACAGGCCGGATCGATCCAGCACTGTTGGCATCATCAGCGGCATTGCTCCGCGAGAGATCCTTGAAGGCCATGAAGTCCAAGTGGCGGTGGTTCAATGGAAGAGTGGCAAAACGCCACGCCAATGCCTTGGAAGCAACGGCGCTGAGGTGCAGTCGATCACCATCGGAGAAGACCAGAACTACCAGATTCGACTTCTCCTGGCAGAGCTTGGGGGCATCGAGCTGAAGAGAGATGAACTGCACTTGGCGGTGCAGACGGTGCCCGGCGCCTTGGTGATGGACTCAAGAGGCATCTACGATGCGATGACCAGGAACTTGTCCGCACTACACGGGCTGAGGGATAGCAGAGCGGGCTACGAGCTGACGCTCGCGGTGGCACAGGCCGTGAAGGCCAAGACTCAGCTCCGATGGGTCGGAGGCCATGCGCAGCTTGGCGATGCGCTCACCAAGCAAGGAGCGCGGAAGATGCTGCTTCAGTTCTTTTCAGAACGCCAGAGATGGCGAATGGTGCACGACCCAAAGTTTGAAGCGGGCAGGAAGGTCCACAAGAGGATCCTCGAGCAAAAGATCCGAGAGATGGAAACCAATGAGGTTGCTTTTATCTCAGCCTTGAAGAAGTTGGCCAACTAATTTAATTGGCCGTGGGATGCAGAGGAATCCCCTGTTCCATGAGGCCGAAAAGGGTCAGGAAGTGTATGAGATGCAAGCTTGAGGTTCACTTGACATGACCCTTTTCCATCCGACAGGGTGGACTCGAGAGCCAGCGGTGAAACGTGCGCGCGGCGTCGCCCCTGGTCCACGGTTGGACCGCGTGTTTTCCTGTGGTAGGAACCCCCTTTCAAAAAGGAAACGACCGGAACTGCCCTGGAAAATTCTAATTTTCTGCATGCGGGAAAGTGATGGTGAAGAAGTGGTGGCAGAAAGCCAAGCCAAAATTGATTGCTGACAGATTTTGAGTTGATTTTGCAAATTTTGGGGGGTTTTTCTACAGCAATTGGCAAGTCTCATGGTTTGAGCAGCCGAGGCAATACTGTGGCTGGGCCGAATGGGACTCGTGGGGGTCATGCTCATCGACTTGTGGCCAAGGTTCACCGCTCAGCCACCATTGTTCCAGCCAGCCCATGCTTGCGCGCAGTTTTTGATTAGGTGGTTAGGTCGGTTTGAAATTTGTTTTTGCTTTAAAGTGGCCCCACTGGTATCGACGGTCGTGGTCAGAAAAAATTGATGAGCCGCCACAGGGAGCAAAAACAGGAGTAGGGGCAGTAGCAGCAATCATGCTCGCTGGTGCACAGCCGATCCTTCAAAGAAAGCAGTTCCTTGTCACACACACACACACATTCATGCACAAGAGCTGCCACAAGAGCTAAACCCCGAGAACATCAATCTGCACGCAATTTCTTCAAAAAAAAACGTGGCCAACGAAATAATTGTGTGTGTGCATGCGCGGTCCAATGAAATAACGGTTTTGTGACCATGTTTTGGGCACCAATCAAACCAATCATGTTGTTTGGGTTGTCATTGAGATGTTGCCTTTGCTGTTGCTGCCGCTGTTATGAGTGTTGCTGTTGCTGCTGAGGTTGTCCATTACATATATCTGTTTTTTGTTCGATCATCATTTGGTTCGAAACATATCGCAAGTCCTGTGTACAGTTTTTTTGTCCAGTTGTTGCTTTATGTTTGGCGACAAAAAACATTGCCAAAGATTGAGGACGGTGTTGCACTGGCTGGATCACCGGATCAGACATAAATTTGTTTTTTTTCACTATTCAGTAGTTTGGAGGAAAGCCTTGGAACTGATTGTCTGAGCTGAACGTAGATTTTTCAAGTGCATGATAGATTGCACCGGCCAGGTTACAGGCAGCGCAAACGACAGTTGATCCTCTCTCCAAATCCTGAAAGTGTTTTGTGGAGGGCTTAGGTCCTTAGGTCTTGCACACCTTCTATTTTGAGGAAACTGACTCGCATGGGGCCGACTAACCCAGTGGGAAACTTCCTATGTTGCACTGAGGGTTCCAGCAGAGATGATCCAGGAGTATGACGATCTTGTGCAACGCACCCAGGTGCCCTCGGGGTTGCTACTTTGGTTGTAATGACCTGATTGTATCGGAACAACTGTATTGTAATTCTAAGACCGAAAAACTGTGGTCCTTCGCAGAAACGTGTGGCTCAGTTTCGACGTGTAGAACGAAGAAAGGCTTTTCAGTTTGTCCGCCTTCTTGCAACGAATGTGGCACATTGGGAGCTATGTGCACGTGGCGCCGACCCGGATATGAGTTGCTCCCAGTCCTAGTCTTGCTTTGTGGTATCGCAACTAGCAGTACCTTTTTGAGATGTCCATACTGGAGCACCAAGACCCACAGATTCTCTGGTGTGGGACGCGCTTCGCTGTCAGGTCTGGAAGATAGGCACTCATTTTTGATTAGCACAGCATGCTCAAGCAGACGAAGCAAGGCATTGTCCCGATTATCCAATGTTTGTGCGCCTCAAGTGCGAATTTTTGAACGAGACCAGGATGGAGCGCGTGGATGTTACACCTCCCACTTATCCGTCTACAAAGAAGCCCTTCAGAAGGGTCTTTCATGGGCGATGATCCTGGAAGACAATTTGATGCTGACTCAAGAGCCTTTGGAAGTTCAAAATTCGCTTGCTGGATTGCTGGAGTGGCTTTCAACAAGTCCAGCGAGAGGAACGCAGTGGAGCATTGTGCATTTGAGTTTGGTGCATTCAGCCGCCTCCTTGCGTTTAAGATCACCTCAGGACTTGCCTTATGGACAGCTTGTCAAGGTCGAACGGACAGCCCCAGATTGGTATGGCCCGGTACAAATCAAAAGACCACCTGGCCTTGGCACAACGGCATATCTTGTCAGCAGAGATGCGATGCAAGCAATACTGGATTATGACTCTCGCAGAGGATACGTTGCTCCTATTGATGATGTTCTTGCAGAGGCTTGTTTCAATTTGGGCTGTTTGATGCTGTTTGCGTTTTCAGATCAGTGGTGTTCTCAAACCCGACATGAATAACACCTTTGCTTGGTGTCGCATGAATCATGAGCCTAAGGACATGTTCCCAGAATCTACCTATGCAGTATTTCCGGCGCCTTTGCATCGTGGTCGAAGTGCTAGCTTGATCAACCCCGAAGCTTATGCTGAATGGAGCACACTCGACTTTACTTGCGCATCAAACAGACTTGAAGTACCAAACTAGGTGACTCGGTGTGGCCAGGGACCTAGTGGTTGCTCGAGATCCCCGGAAAGTATCACTGAAGGGAGTACAAAAATCACTCGATCAGATGTGGCTCAGATGTGGTGAGAATAACTATTGTGACTATTGTTATTACTATTACACACATATCATATACATACCATATATAGGTAGATATAGAATAGAGACATATAGATATGGAACTTTGAAGGATTCAACAGCACCCGATCGAGGACCAGGAGCTCTTCCGCTCAATCATGTACGAGAAGAGTGTCTTCAAGAATATAGATGCTGGGGTTCAAGTCGAAAGCGTCTTTATGTAAAGCTTGTAATGAGGAGCTAAGAGCCGTTTAGTTCCCTTGCCGACAGTCGAGCTAAGGAGAATGCACTCGTTTGGACTGGCTTGTCCAGCAGTGAACTTGTCTGGGTATTTCTGGCTTCCATGACTGACTCTTGGCAATACACAGGTATTGCAAGAAACTGGGCCCTGGACAACCCTCAATCCAGATATGACCGGTATGATACAGAGAAGTTTCTAGCGTCTCACCTCACAAAAGATTTTTTTCACTCCCATGCGATGTGGTGCCACTTGGACTGCTCTTCTGTGCTTAGGCATGGACCTTTGGTGTGACGCTTCCTGTTCTGACTCAATTGCTCAAATAACAGCTGCCTTGTTTGCCGCACTGCAACTGGAAAGAGCGTTTGCCTTCTCCCTCGATCACGTTGGTGGTTGCGCGAAAGAAAGCGACATGTGCCATAGACGCAGAGCTTGGTCCAGCTTAGTCAACAGACTTCAAAAAAGTTGCGCTGTGTCTGTCCAGTCTGCCTTTGTCTTCTTTGTTAGTATCCAGTTCTTGCAGGAACTGGATGCGCAGCATTTCCGCGAGCTGGCAATGGCCTTTGCTGCAGGAGGCATCATTTTCATACCCTGATACTGACACTGACACCAATCAGGGCGTTTGGTTATTGGTATTGTGTTCTTTGTTGCCACCTCAAGCAAAATTGACAGGTTTTGAATCAATTCTGCACAGCTGTGAACTGCCAGTGAATGCCTCGCATCCTTGGGTTCCAGTCTTTGGGTTTTGTCTCCGCCTGGATGGCCTGTCTTCCCTTGTCATCCTTTGGCCTTCCTGGTGTTATTTGCATGTTCTTTTTCCCAAAAAACATGCACTCTTTCAAAAGCCAGTTTGACGTCATCAGGCGCTTGCCTCATGGCTGTCTTTGGCGTGATGCGGGGCTGGTCAATTCCTCGTCAGGACAGTTGTACCCCTGTTGCGACATGTAAGCACGTGTGATTTTTTGCATTGCGTTCTCCCCTAGAAAGAATCTGCACTAGAAATGTGATTTAAGAGTGGATCCCTTGCAGGGTCCAATGATCACAGACGGTGGATCGTCTTCTCGCACGTGTGGATCCCAGTCCTAGTCTTTTGGAGCATGTTGCACTTGCCTAGCATGTTGAGTCAATGATTTCTTGAGATTGCGCGCGATTTGCCGCAAGATTTGCGCAAGCGTGATGGCCGCAGGTTTTCAAGAGTCGCTGGCTTCCTCCCTCGCAGCGAGAATGTCACCTTCTTGGTTGTTTTCAATCTTCCAATGAGTGCACCACGTTAATTCGTGTTGAACAAGGTAGAGACGCTGAATGGAGACTATTGTTGGCGACCCAGCTTTGGCCAAGTGAAGTCATCGATGTGTACTCAACACAAGGCCCAATGCAGTCGTACTGTTTGAACAGCTCTCACTGCCCTGAGTTCTGGTAGCAAACGAGCATGAGACTGAGCTCGAAGCTCAGCCACCACACGACTTGCAAGTGCCTGACTTCTGACACCTTGCTTGGCTCTAGTCACTCTAGTCTAGAGTCTTGAGAAGATCTTTAGTATTTGCTCAGTGTTTTTTTGAGCTGTTCTTGATTCTATGTCCAAATCTTGAGACACGTTCTTCTATCTCCAAGCCACACATTTGTCTTGTGTGTGAACGCCACAAGAACGGGCAGATGTTGCATCTGCACTGGGCACGGGCAGGCTACCGTGGGCTAGCCGAGACCTTGAGCTTGAGGAGTTCAGCTGAGGCAAGTTTGTGGCAAACTCGAATCAAACTGAATCCTTGAGGCTGGTTCCATCACTTATGACTTCTATATATTCGAGCTTACACATTTGCATTTAACGGGTCAAAAAACGAGGGGATCATCGGATCATCGATATCCATTTTAGGCCACGCGACGACAAAACAAAAGCAAGGCTCAGCAAAGTGGAAAGCAATGGGTTGGAACCTGCATTGCTGCGTGGCCTTTGCACAACGTCAGGTCCAATCTTTGGCGTCGCAGTCTAAGTAGGGAGGATTTTCGCTTTGCTCTGGTGTTTGCAAGGCTAGGTGCATGCTCCGGAGCTTATTCTTTTTGTTGGCCATAGACCGATGTGTTTTGCGTGGATTCCAAAATTATTTGGCATTTTAATTAGTTGGGTTCCGTATTTGGAATGTAATTCGTGCTGTTAGCTCTTTCACGTAAAACCCCACCACTCACACACACACACACCAACAAAAGCTACTCCGCTTTCTCGAACTGAGTGTTTGGTCTTCTGTCCTAGACAGACCGAAACAGTATTCGTGCAAAGTTGACGCAATCAACATGAAATATCTTACGGCCAGATGCATCCCTTGGAAAAACATTTCTTCGAAGCAAGCATGAGTCAAGAAGAAGGAAAACGTAGAAAACAGCACTTCGAGGCCAGAGCAGCAAGAACCAATGCTATCTTTCTTTGCCCACCCGAGTGATTCTCTCCCATCTACACCCTAAACTCTCATCTATAGGCATTCCCCTTTTCCATTGAGAAGCAGTGCCGTCGCTTCGATCCTCCTTCTCGCCTACCAGGGTCGAACAGGTCGAACACACAAATCATCATTGTAACGGGCTTAGCCAACTCTATACCGAGTGCGATACCGGGCTTCTTCATTCAGAATGAGCTGGCTATGCGCGCTTTGGAGACATGGTGACCGTGCAGGTGCTGACTTTGGTCACAAGGTGTTGGCACAGGTGCTGCTCCAGGCATCTTTCTACTTGTGTCTTGCGTTTCTTGAACCACGACATTGACAAGACCTTTCCAGGTAAAAACATGTAAAAACTTAACCATCGAAACATTTTATTGGACAACCTGAACCCTTTTTGTCCGTGGTCTGAGCTGGTGTAATTGTTCAATCCGGGTACCCCTGGAGAGCTTTTTTCCCGATGGCGATAGATACAGGGGTTCTTACTTATTCTTAATGACTGAATCCTGTATTCCGTTTTGGTTTGCCGCTGCTGTGCCGCTGCTTCCTTGTCTCCCCACTTGTCTCCTGACATGTCTCCCCCTTGTCTGCCTGTGTGATCGCCGTGTTAGACGTGTGGACGTGTAAAATTTTGTGGCAAGTGCAGGGAATCGTGAGGTTGCGAGTCGTGGCGGAGGTGAATGTCGCTGTGACATTGGGATTGGCATGTGAGCAGGTGTTGTTTGGAGGGGCTGGAATCGCGAAACTGCTTGGCAGGGCTGCTTGATGTGTGTGCTCCGACGGAGCTTCCCGCTTGACTTTCGGAGGAAGTCTCACACGAAAGACTTTGACTTTGACATGTGACTTTTGGAGGAACTCTCGTACGAAGCTCTCGTTTTGTGGACTTGACGTGTGACTTTTGGAGGGGTCTCGTACGAAGCGCTCGTTCTGGAGACGTGACAGTTGACTTTTGAAGACTTTAGTAGTTACACAGCTCTACAAGAGTGACCCACAAGAGTGTCCTACAAGAGTGCGCCACAAGAGTGTCCCATAAGAGTGCACAACAAGAGTGTCCTACAAGAGTGCCCCACAAGAGCGTCCTACAAGAGAGTTCCGCAAGAGTGTCCCACAAGAGTGTTCCACGAGAGTGTCCCACAAGAGTGACATACAAGAGTGTCCCACAGGGTGGTCCTAGAAGAGTGTCCCACGAGAGTGCGCCCCACAAGAGTGTCCGATAAGACTGTCCTACAAGAGTGCCCCACAAGAGTGTCCCACAAGCGTGTCCGACAAGAGTGTCTTACGAGAGTGCCTCACAAGAGCGACACACAAGAGTGTCCCACAAGAGTGTCCCACAAGAGTGTCCTACAAGAGTGTTTCGCAAGAGTGTCCTACAAGAGTGTTCCGCAAGAGTGCCCCGAAAGATTGAGTGTCATACAAATGTGTCCCACAAGATTGACAAACAAGAGTGTCCCACAAGAGTGTCCCGCAAGAGTGTCCCACAAGAATGTCCGACAAGAGTGTCCTACAAGAGTGTCCCACAAAAGTGTCTCGTACAAGATTGTCAAAAATTGTTTGGGTGTTTGTTTTCGAGTACTCGTTTGCATTCGGGTTCTTGGGCTCCATCTTGTTTTTCATTTTGTATTTATACAGCATCTAGTATAGCAAAAAAACATAAGGTCATAAAATATGCAGTAGTATGCAGTGCATCTCTGTCGAATATGTCAAAAACAATAGAAAACAGCGCAGAAACGCTCTTTGTCTTTGGTCTACTGTAGCATCACGCAGACATTTGTTGCTTATGGGAACAGTGCCGAAGATTGAAAGGGCCGCTGTTGTGTTCAAAGGTTTCCTTGCATTCTGAAATCCGTGCGGCATGTTTGATTTGCTGCTCTTTTCCAAGGCACCAAAGCAGTGGGTCAGAGTGGGGATCAGTCCACCCGTAATCGGTGCTTGGAGGCTTTGGCCACTGCCATGACGTTTTATAGAAGGATTCAGGTTCAGACGCATACTTTCAACACTTTGTAAAGTGTGTAGATGATTTGCAATGTTTGAGTTCGGCACCGGCAAACTCACCTGCACATGCAATCGCAACTTGTGCAGCACCTGCCGATGCATTGGCACGTGTCATTGCTTTGGCACCCAGAGCGCATTCCTTGGGGATTCCCAAAGCACCTTAGCGGATTCGGTCGGCTTTAGGTCGGCTCGGCATCAAGCCTCGAAGAGTTTCACCGAGCTGACGGAATTGGCACAGCGATTGTGTGCTTCAAATTCCACCTTGACGGGGTGACGCCAGAATTTCCAAGTGGTGTTTACATGGTGTTTACAAATGTTTAGATGATACTAAACAAATTTTCATTTGGTTTCTTTAATGGCAGCACCTTGAAGGATATTTTTACGTGTGACTTCCTCGGACAAAAATGCAAATTGAAACACTCTCTCACCGCCAAGCTTTACAGCCGTTACCAACTGTACCTGCGTATCCCATGCAGACAGAACATGGCAAGACCTGTAGCAGCTCCAGCAGCAAGTTTGGATCACGAGTATAGTTACATTGAGTGGCTATGAAATGTGTTTCACAACAGCTGGGAAGAATCAAAACGTCAGCATTCAAATCTCATTGGATGCCGTCGGGGAGCCTCATTGGTACAAACTGGGAATGAGACCAGCGTTTCACTCCTAGAAGGAATCCGGCAACCAAGTAGAGTTTGTTTGACAAGTGTTCATGGTCACTGCACACTGTGTTCACATTATACTCATCATATTGAAAAACAAGCAAGGAAGCTACTGGGGGCTCTTGGCCGTACTACTAGGAGCAAGAACGCTACTAGGGGCTCCTGGCATCGCTACTAGGAGCAAGGATGCTACTAGGAACAAAGGGTTATTAATGATTCTGCAAGAAAAACATTTCCACCATGAAGCGGGCGACGCCTCGACTGACTCAATGGGAGCCTTGTCGCCAAAGTTGGTCGCGTCCGACGCGTCCGCCAAGGTCGTATTTCAGCTGTTTGTTTGTTGTGATTCTGTCTTCGCTCCATGTTGCACGCTGTTTGTTTGCTGTGGTAGTGTTAGTTGTTCTTTGTTTCAATTTGTTGCTCCAAGATTTGTGGAATTGGACATGAAATGACGAAGGTAGAGACGCGTGCTGCAAACTTGGGTGGAATTTCCGTCCTGTCTTCCTCTCCAGCTTTGGCCCTTCAGCTTTATCCAAGAGGCAGTCACCGCTTTTGGCGGGCCACCTTTGGTTGCAAGCTGATCCAGAATCCACTTTTTGTCTATTCTACATACTTATTTTGATCCTATTTTATGTTCACATAGATGCTTGAAGGTTGAGTGCCCTCAGGTTTGGGCACATGGACTCGGTGGATGTTGCGATTCCGATGAGGCACGTGGAATGGGCAGTATATTGGATCCAGCTAAGCTGGGCCGCACTATTTTACGGCTGGACTTGCGTGGCCATGGTCGCTCGAAGTCTGCGCATGACAATGATTCGAGCTCAATGGTCCACCAATACACGTGGTCGCAATTGGCCAAAGATATGCGAAAAGCAGCAGCTGATTCTGTGTCACGATCTTTCTACGGTGGGGAAGCCCTTGGAGCCGCAGTAGCATTGGAAGCAGCAGTTGCGGCACAGGCGACCAGGTCCATAGATGCTTCACCAGGTTTGGTCCTCATGAGGCCTCCCCTGATGCTCGCGCAAGTGGCTAAGCACGGTTCAGTAGATGCGAAGCATCTTCAGGAGTTCCTTCAAATTGCACACCTCGTGGAGACAGAAGGTTTTGGTTCCTTGGAGCAAGCAGAGGCTGAAGATAGCACCCCATTCTTGAATGGTGCTGATGCAGCTTTCTGCAGTGTCACGAAGAAAGAGCTTCAGCAATTTCGACGTGCCATGGATGAGGACTGTTTGCAACCACTTGCCGTGCTGTCTTCCAAATTGTTCAAAGCAGCATTTGCTCCCGACTACAGGATGCCTTTGCAGCTGCCCTTCGTGGGTATGCAGCCTCTGAGCAGCTGGGAAAAGAGCTCGCAATTCGCTTCAAGGAGCTTGGAAAGAATAAGGAAATGCAATAATAACAAGGAAATGGATGGAAACGGTGCGTCTTGTGTCAGGAGGGACTGGTAAACTCTCCTTTGAGCATGGCTGCGGATGCATATGGGGTGCCGTTTCTGGACTTGAATTCAGTGACTGTTGCGCAAAGGGTTTGTTGGCAGAGAAGGAGAGGAGTTGTTATGATTGTTATGGAGGCCGTGAATGGCCGGAGTGACAACAAACGATGGAAACAATTTGATGGGTCCCGGGTGGCTAGGGTGAGATATGTAGAGTTCGTCCATTTTGGTTCAAGCTGAGCTTGAGACCTCCTTCAAGATGGTCGGGGGGTATGGAGGGGGCTTCTTCCCGACCGGACTAGCCTGGACACCTGGACCACTACTACAGTGTCTGGTTCTACGGGGCTGGCCACTTCCAAAAAGACGACGCTTGGACCACTACTTGTATCCAGGACGCGGCGACATGGGGCGGTTTAGAGATGGGGCTGGTTCGGTCTCTCACGAGGCAATTGGGAGACCCCAATCTAAGCTCGCTACAGGTGTCCAGTTGAGGTTTTCGAAGCTGCATTGACTTCAGCTTTCAGAGGTTCAAGTTGAAGATGAGTCAAAATTTTTGACCAAGGGCGGGACTATGAAGTTGAGTTGCTTTCAGGACCTACAGTGCAACAGATGCCTGCACACTTTGCATTGGTCGAAGGGGAGAAATGAGGAAGTGACCGACGCCCAACTCACCTGCTTGCACTACAAAGTGCAAAGTGGATTGCCAACCTTGGTCGACATGGCATTTTGAGGACCTCATGGAGAGCGGATTGCCAGGAGCATCGAACTTTCAGACACTTGGGAGGAGACCTGGCGTATATTTCGAATTGCAGCGCTCATGATCCAGCTGGCGTCAGCGGCGACCCTGGATCGATACGCCCATGCAAAGTTTCGGAACAGGGTGTTGCAACACCCGGACGTCTGGCACCTAGCAGCTCAAGCAGCGAGCCACGCTGATTTCTAGTCACGTGAGTTCGAGAAACCAGCCATGCTGCACACAGCGAATTGACCAAGAGCAGTTCCAGCCCAACCTGAGCCACCAGGACAGATGAGACTGGCTGGATGAACCCGCAACCCAAGAAGAGATCGACTTCAACCTTTGATCTGCAGCGGAAAGAATGCGATTTCAAGAGTAAGGCTGGAGTCAACATTAGCTATGCATCGTCAAGGGGTCCAAACAAGTGCAGCAATGCCAAGCGTGACAAGGCCTTTACCCATGTATACGAGCGGCGCCGTCAGCCTCAAAAGACCATCGACTGCCCACGTAGTCCCGGACAAGAAGAAGAACAAGGGCAAGACGAGCGCAAAGGCGGCGGGGGGCCGCCTGAGAAACTGAGGCACATGTGACAGGAGAGCCGGAGAGCCTTCGATGAAGCTTGCACAGTTGAGAACGGCACTCAAGAGGAGGATGAGCGAGCGCCAGTGAACGTGAATTCAAGGCTCAAGATCGTCAGGACAGCGAAGGACTGCCAGCGCATACAGCTCCACTGCAAGATCAAGAGCCAGGAGAAGAGACAAGCGTGCACTTGCACGGAGGTTGAGATGAAGGACTAGAGCCGAAGCCTAGGCAAGCGCAAGAAGCAAATTTGTATGGAAAGCCCCCTTCATGAAGGGGGGTGAGGCGAGGTAAGGGCTACTTCCACGCAGGTCGGTGACACTCCGGACGTTGCCAGGTACGTCAGAACTTGGACATCAACCAGGAAAAAGGTATTTCTTTTGATTAAGTGAATCATGTTGGTATATTGTAATTATGTTTTACAGTGCCTGTACTTTGCAAGCATTGTTGGATCTATTCTTCGATCCCCTTGAAGCTGTTCATTTTCAAGAGGTTCGATAAATAGAGTGATTTTGTACCAAAGATTATACAATGTGCTTGATCAAGAGCTAGGAGATGAACGCAGCGTGAAGTTGATGAGTAAATGAAGAAAAGATCCTTTTTCCCCACATTGACGGGTGTGTTTTTTAGCGTGGTATCCGCTCCTCCCTCCTTCCTCCTTCTCCTCCCGCCTCCTCCCGACCAACTGCCACCAACAAATTGTCGCCAACTACTTGCCACCAACCAATTGTCATCAACCGGCTGTCGTCAAGCAATTGTTACCAACCAAGCGCCACCCGCTAATTGTCACCAACAAATTTCCGCCAACCAATCGTCACCATCTAATTGTCACCCACCAGTTGTCACCAACCAATTTCCATCCACCAGATGCTACCAACCAATTGCCGCCAACTAGTTGTCACCAACCAGTTGTCATCAACCGATTGTCACCAACCAATTGAATCAACCGATTGTCATCAACCAATTGTCATCAACCGATTGTCACCAACAAGTTGTCATCAAAAAATTGCGACCAACCAACTGCCACCCACCAATTGCTACCAACCGATTGTCATCAACCGATTGTCACCAACCAAATGTTGTCAACCGATTGTCATCAAACAATTGCTACCAACCAATTGTCACCAACCAGTGGTCATCAACCGATTGTCATCAACCAATCGCTACCACCAACCAATTGTCATCAACCAATCATCAATTGCCACACACCAATTGCCACCAGCCGGTGTGCGCGGTGCTGGGCGCTGAGGTCGCTGGGTCGCCGCAGCTCTGCCGGTGTGATTTGCGTGGCAGGCGCGGTGCTTGCTGC